ATTACATACAATTAATCACAATTGATATGTCTAAAACTTTATGTGACCCTAAGATCTCAATATATAATTTTAACTGATTAAGGATGCTGTGGCTACTCCCCAACTAATTAAAATTATAAGATCACTAGATATTTATCCTTGTCATCTTTATGTGATTTGAACTTTAGACAATTTTTAGTAAATTAAAAATGATGTGGCTACTCTTTAATTAATCTAGAAATTGTAATCACTTGGCAAAAGGAGAATTTAAAGCCTAACAAACTAATTAAACCAACACATAATAGACAATTATTAGGTATACTCCCAGGAAAGTTGGTCGAGACGAAGCTCGGTTAAATACCAACTCCTTAGACAGAGTAGCGTCGCAAGGGGACTAGTAGCAACAAGGCTTTTAAGCCAGGGCCATAGAACTAGTATTCCTCCCCAAGAAACTTCCCTAAGTCATGTGTTCTCATGTTTGAAGTAAAATCGTTTGGGAGATCTATAAAATTGTAGATTCACCTATGGATAAGGCTTTATACCGATGAACTAAATTAACGGACTAAACGTGCTTAAATTCAGGCACTACCGCAATTAATTTTATGCATAAAGTTCAAACTTAAGGAACTAAATCCATTCTCAAACTATGCTTCCTAAAGGCATAATAAATCGCATAATCTAAAATAAAATATTATGCTTAGAACAGATATGCATAAAATTAAATAATAAACTCATATATTCCAAACAAATTGCATAACTGAAAACAATTTTAATATGAGCAATAACCTCAAGTATACAATTAATATTCAAAACAATACAAGTGCTATAGCTATAACACACAATCCCGTGTTACATTCAAGAACAAAACACATTGATGTGAGACATCATTTTATTCGAGATCATGTTGAAAAGAAGGATCTGACAATAGAATACATTCCGACGGAAAATCAAATAGCTGACATTCTCACAAAGCCACTGTGTGAATCAAGATTTTCGAAATTGAGACACGAGATGGGCATGATTGAATTGAGCTAAGTTTCTAAACTCTATTTAAATTAAGAGCTCAATTTTCATCTGTAAATATGTTACTTTATCTGATTTAAGTGACTTATTTTCGTGCCTATGTGTCCCACATGCAAAAATATGTCACATATTAGTATTTATGTCTACCTATCTTAATTGCACATTGATATATAGTATCAAGCATGCATGCCTCTTCAAACGTGTATAAACATATATATATATATATATATATATATATATATATATATATATATATATATATATATATATATATATATATATATATATATATACACAATAAAATTTGGTTAGATTCACAAAATCTTTACCATTAAAGGGTTGACAAAAATAAAAAAAAACTAAACTCAACCAATTTAAGCACAAAATTAATTAATCAAAACACTTATAAAAATATATTAAAGCACTAAAAATAACATCAAATAAGTGCCTAACAAGGAGAGAAGGGGGGCAAGGAGCAATTTATATCATGTACCAGATTTCACATAGTATTATGGACCCTTAATCGAAACGACAACGTACATAATTCATACTCGTAATGTACAGAATTTCCTAACACAAGACAAAAAATCACAATACAAAATTCAGCATGAATCAAATCTAGGGCATGACCCAATCTTCATTATCAAGACATGATAACAATTATAATATGTTGTTTCTTCAATCAATGCATTTAACTACATTAAAAAGCGAAAGAAACTTAGGAAATTTTGAAACCTAGTCAAGATAGTCCCAAATTAAGATGAACACACCAGAAATCAAAAAACAAGACCAACCCACAGTTTTCAGCTTAGTTTCATGTAAATGGCCAATCAAAAGATCAAGAAATGACAATCAGAATCAAACCTTTTTTCACTTCTCCATCCTCTCCACCCTCAGCTTCTAAACAATAACTATCTTTATTTGAACTATAGTCTACTAGAAGAGCTGAAGTTGCTCTGCCGGGGTCGACATCTATCTTTGCCGCACGACGCTGGAGCATTCGACAATTGGATGGTTTTCCCAAACTTCTTTATTTGTTATCTTGTATTGTAGGTGACACTAGTGGGGATCTGCTCATAGACCTCGCACACCCAAATGCACTCGTAGGCTTCAAGACCATCACCACCACCACCACTAGTGGGGAGTGCTATGTTGAAAATATCCTACTTAGAGCAAGAAAATGAAAAAAGAAAGAGGTGTGAAGAAGCAAAAGACAAATTTATCCTCATCGTTTTACTCATTACAAATTTATGGTTACTTTTCACCGACAATTTGTCTGGAAGGACTGCAATTGAGAGAATTGAATAGTTGTTGATTCAAATTAACAATTTTAAAACTTGTTGACTTCAATTAACAATACCCGGCCGCAATAGTCGTATAAGACCAAAAGTGAAATTTATCTTACATATATATATATACCTTTTAACTTATCTAGATGGTTGAATTAAATACTTCCTCAAAAATAACAGATTACAATTAGAAAATTTTCAAAAATAATGGCTAAATTTAAAAATATTACTACAATTAAAGGATCAAAATTAAAATTTTGGTCATTTCAACATCATTGCAGTCTAGGCTATGAATTTCACTAATAATTTACTACTCATCATAAAATCAATTTAACTTAATTTTTATTGACTAATGACTATTAGATACTAAAATTTGTCACAATTTAAATTGAAAACATTATATTCAAACATTTTTATTTCTTCTGACTTTCGAATTGTATTCAGACAATTTTTTGTTTAATTAACCTTTTAAACTTATATTTTTCTAAAACAATCACTCCGTATTAAACTTGAGCCAATTCAACCATACTAATATTCATGTATTATCATTTTTGTACTCATATTAACAAATGAGGAAATGACCCTTTTCGTCATTGAGTTACAGAGAATTAATAATATTCGTCTCTCAATTATAATATCATTGCTTATTCCTTAATTATTTGTAAAATGACTTTTTTCATCTCTCAATTATTACAAAATAATTTTTTCATCTCTTAATTATTATAAAAAGTACCAAGTTCTCTTAAGAGCATCCGTAATAGTTATGTTTTTTTTTTTTGGTGATTTTTGAGGAGTTTTTGTAAGTGTGATTAGGAAATAGAATATGGGAAGAAGAGAAAAAAAAAGAATAAACAAATTCGATTCTTTTTTTATTAAAAACAAAAAAAAATACTAATTGTCAGCGCTTGTAACGCGCCCATCATGTACGCGCCTCGCTGGGCGTGCTTCGTTTCCCGCACGCGTAGACAGAGGTAAGGCTTTACTTCAACAGTTAATATATGGACCCACAAAAATCACTTAATTTGCAGGAGAAATTTTTGCCAAAAAACTTCACTCTACATCATTAAAAATCGTTGCCTAGTTTTTTCTACTGTTCCCAAATCTAAGTATAATCCACCGATGTGGATGCTCTAAGAGGATGTTTGGTAGCTAAGGCTATCAACACTTTTGCAATTTTCTCTGACTTTCAAAATATCATATCATTAAATTTGTAATTATTCACTATTTACTCTCTATCAATGCAATTCCATCTCCTCTTTAAAAAATGATCTCACTATTGCATCACCTTATAACAAATATTTTGCAATTCTGCATTGTCAAAATTGCATTTCAGATAGCAAAATTAATAATAATAATAAAATATATACTGCCCAAAAAGGGACTTTGCATTTATGATAGCAAAATTACAAATTTTGTAATTCTGCATTGTCAGAATTGCAAAACAGCCGCAATATAGATTTTTTTTTTTCTTTTAAATGAGTCACTTTAGTATCGCAGTAAATTATAACGATGATAATAGTCTAAAAAAATTAAAATTTTTTTTTTTTTGAGAATTTAAAATGTTGAAAAATAATTTTTATTTTTGGTGTAATATTTGACTTTAAGAAATTGGAATCAATGAGAATTTAATTATAGATATCAAAGTAAACCCTACATATAAAGAATATATGATTCTTTTTTCCAAGTGACTTAGAGGAGTTAGAGATTTACTAAATTTATCATTTTTTTATGAGAGTAGGTTAAAAGTGTCTTCTAATATAGAAATTTGACTTATTTATTTTAAAGCTTGTCCAAGAACATTGAAAATAATTATGAGCGTTGTGTTTGGTAGTGTTGAAATAGGCGTTGTGACACACTTAATTTATAACGCAGTTTCGGGCAAGCAACCCTAATCTGCGAGGCACTTCTCAAATTGAGAATTTGCCTAAATCCACTAAAAGCTTAATATTTAGAGTACACTTAGTTTAGGGAACGGGGATTACACAATATGAGATCCTATCAAACTATTGTGACCTAAACACTTGCACTACTTTTCAAGGGGATTTGGGTATCTATTCTCAATGACTCTCGTGCTCACAATTAGATGTTGAAAGCGTAACTTGAAGAGTTGCGGAGCAGCTTCTTTTATGGGTCAAGAGATGAAGTATAGATAGGAATATGATTGCTATTCCTATTTAGATTAGGAATATAATTCCTAAGACTTGTTTGACTTAGTATTCCTTGTTTGTCTAGAATTTGAAATTTGTCTTATGTCAATATTCTCCCCCTTTGTCAAATTTTAGCAAAAACCTTGATCCATTTTTGTTTCTTAACCATAGTTGACACGTGGATGTGTCTCCCCCTTGATATGTGGATCTCCCCCTTAATTTGTGGGTTCTTCTTTGTTTGTTGAAATGTTGACTTTAGATAGTATTTTTGTTAGTAAATGTAGGAGGTCATTTCAGTGCATATGTCTGGTTCTTCAAAAATATTTGCCTGTTGATTCTTCTAGTTGAGTCTGCTAGTAGTAGCAAAACTACAAAAAAAGTCATAAGGTGGTCTTGTCTGTTGTCTGCCTTGCACCTGGTACATACAAATAGAGACAGCCAAAAAAAATTTGAGCATAGAGAGATATGTCCTATTTGCAACAAAATTCCTGCTGTCTGGTCTGCTATTCCTGCTGTCTGATCTGCCTGCTTCTCCCCCTTTTTTGCTAAAAACAGTTATCCTCTAAACTTCTGAGTCTGATGTTGAAACAGGTGTTTCAACACTCTTTTCTTGAGAATGTTCTTGGATATCTTCTTCTGTTCCTTGATTTTGCTCTTGGTCTTCTTCATTTTCTGCTTCTTGGGAATGTTCCTGGATATCTTCTTCTGTTCTTTGCTCTTGATCTTCTTCATTTTCTGCTTTTAGGATTGCCAGTCATTCTATTATTTCTGCTTTTTCTTCCTTGTTGTTCACGTGTTTTCTTAGAAGTTGCTTTTCTGAGGCTTCCAATTCTGTCAGTCTGCCTTCAAAGTAATTAATTAGTATCTTTGAATCAAGTGGATTTTTCTTTGGAGCAGAGGACTTTAGATCATTTTGGTGGTTTCACTTCCTTAGTTTGACTGTTGTGTTGAAGTTCTTGACAATGGTCTTTGGTCCTTGAGTTTTGAGGCCTTGTTTTGCCAAGATGGAAAAGATGAGGTTTGGAAAGATTAGGGAGGTATTGGATTTGGTGTCTTCTGCTAAGTTTGTTACTTGTGTATGAATAATGGTACCCATGTTGATTTTCACCCCTTTTCCTATCTTGTACAGCAGTTCTGCTAAGGTCCATTTCACTGTGGATTCATGTAGTGAGGGCATCCAGTTTGCAAGAGCTATCTTCTGTAGGATTGCATATTTGCTTGTTAGAGAAGCTGCTTTGATTTTGTTCTTTTCAAAGCTGACATTACCTGCTGTAAGTTCCTTGGCCACTTGTTCACTATTTAGTTCCATCTCTTGTTCAAATTCAGGTGTTCCTAGGTAGCTGTTGATTGTGTCTGGTGTAAACTCATAGTATTTTCCTCTCAAATATACTTTCCCATACATAGGACTACTGGGTATTATGATGGTTTTGGTTAGGTTACAGTAGAATTCCTGGATGACTTCCTCATCATAAAGTTCTATGTTGGTGACTGTTCCTAGGAGTTGATTTGAGATTAGAACTTCTTGAATCTGCTCTGAGTTGTCCAGTTTGTCTGTGACAAGTAGTTTTTGGTTTATGATCTTTTTCTCCACAATTCTTTTCCATAGCTTTCCAGATTCTTTGCTTAAAAAGGTTGTACTGTGTGGTTTAGGTAGGTTTGACATGTCATCACTACTAACCACTTTTTGTTTCCCCTTTTCTTTGGCAGTTGCCTTTTATTTCCCATTTGCTTTGGTAGACACCTTGGTAGATTGTGACTGTTTTCTTTTCTTATTGGCTTCTAGGTTGGTTCTCAATCGTTATACCCTACACCACGGCGCACATAGCACTGTGCACCGCGCGCCTCCCAAAACGACGTCGTTTTGGGAGGCGCGGTAGGAAGTTGCTGGGATTATGTGTATTTGTTCACACAGTTATGTGTATTTGTTCATACAGTTATGTGTATTGGTTCATACAGTTATGTACATTTTTTATACAATTATGTACATTCTTTTTATACAATTATGTACATCCGAATCAGAAAATTTGTGTGTATTATGTTAATAGTTGATGTGTATTATGTTAAAAGTTTATGTTTATTATGTATTATGTTAGACTATGTGTATTATCTTTTAAAAAGAGTATGTATATTTGTTATATGATTGTGTACATTCATGTATACAATTATGTGTATTCTAGTATAACATTATGTACATTCTTGAACAACGGTTTTTTTTTTTTTTTTTTTTTTTTTTTAAAGAAAAAACTACTGCCATTCACTGGGGCGAAAAATTTCAAAAAAAAAAATAAAAAATTAAAACGACGTCGTTTTGCATTTGGGCGCATAGTGCAACGCGCGCCGTGGTGTAGGATATAAATTGCCGTTGGTTCTCTTTTGGGCTCGGGTTCTTATTCTCTCACAGCCAGAGGACTCAATTTCTTCATTTGGTACCCAGGTTTGTTCATCCTCTGTATTTTTGTTTCTTGTTTTCTTGGATTTTGCAGGTTTTGGTGGGATGTTTGGTGGTCTTTGAGGAGGTCCTGCACGTACTGGAAAATCACTTGGCCTTTTGGCCCTTGGATCTACTCCTTCATATGGGTCAGTCATCTTCCTCTTTCTAGGGTTTTTGTTGACCCGAGGGATTGAATTGGGGGTTTCATCAATTGTGATTTGTTCATCATTTATAGGGCTTAAGGGACGGTTCACCTCGTGATTTTGAGGATCTTCATGTCCCTCATATTCTGATTCCCTTGGATTGTCCTCTTCTTCGGAGCTAACGTAGGAGCCCATATCAGGTTCCCAGCCTCGATTTATGGCAAACCGGAGTTGTACCACTAAATCGTTTGGATCAACGATCCTATTGTCTCCGAAATCAGCCGCAATGGGCATGGGCATGGGAAGTTCCTCATGGTCTGTCAGAGGGAGATTCGAGTTACCTGGTGGGTTGATGCTCTGTTCTTGAGGTTCGCCGAACGGTACTCTGCCTATTGGAACAGGGTTCATCGCGATGTTGGTGGGACTCTCTTCTTCGACACATACTGGGTTCGAAGACTCTCCGGTGCCGGTGTATTTTAAAGTACTCTCGGTTGTTCCTCTTCGAGGTAACTTTCCCATTCTTTGGTTTCTGGTTCTCACCATGGTTACTGTTGTGTGAGGGTTGAGGATGAGTGAGGGTTTCTCAGGTGGATGTCGAGTGGAGTCGGGTAAGAGTGATGGCTCTGTTTTTGAAATGGGGCTTTTACTTGAGATGTGGATCCGGGTTTGGGCTTTTGTGATGGGGCGGTGTATTGTAACAAACATGGGCCGGTTTTGATTGATGGGTTTATTTTGTGGATTTGGCCCATGTGTTTCCTTTTTATTTGGTGTGAGTTATAGAATACACAGGCCTATTTCGGCCCTTAGCTTTGTGTATCTATTTCCATCTAGTGCTTTAGTTAAAATATCTGCTAGCTGTTTTTCTGTACTTATGTGGGTAAGACTGATGATTTCATCTTCTACTAATTCCCTTATGAAGTGATGCCTGATGTCAATGTGTTTTGTTCTTGAGTGTTGAACTGGATTTTTTGAAATGTCTATTGCGCTTTTGTTGTCACAATGGATTGTCATGGTTGATTGTTGTATTCCATAGTCCTCTAGCATTTGTTTCATCCAAAGTAATTGTGTGCAACAGCTTCCTGCTGCAATATATTCAGCCTCTGCTGTTGATAGGGAAATAGAGCTTTGTTTCTTGCTGATCCATGATACTAGGTTGGTACCTAGGAAAAAACATCCTCATGACGTACTTTTTCTGTCATCTATGTTACCTGCCCAATCAACATCACAATAAGCTGAGAGATGATGATTGGTGTCAAATGAATACCATATTCCTAGGTCGGATGTCCCTTTCACGTATTTAATGATTCTTTTGAGTGCTTTTAAATGTTGCTCAGTTGGATTGACTTGGTATCTTGCACAAATTCCTACTGCAAAGCTTAGATCTGGTCTGCTATCGGTTAGATACAACAAACCTCCTATCATGCTTCGATATAGGGTTTGTTCGACCGGTTTTCCTTCTGAATCTCTTGATATCCTTTCTGTTGTTGGAACAGGTGTTCTGACAACTTTGCTTTCTTCTAGACCGAATCTTTTGACTAAGTTCTTGGCATATTTGCTTTGTGATATAAAGATTCCATTGTCTTGTTGTCTGATTTGTAGACCAAGGAAGTAGCTTAATTCTCCTACCATGCTCATTTCAAATTCTCCTTCCATGTTAGTGATGAACTGGTCTTTGTAGGACTCGAGTGTCGATCCAAAAACTATGTCATCAACATATATTTGGGCGATGACAATGTTTTGCCCATAGTGTTTGACAAATAGGGTTTTATCTACGCTCCCTCTCTTGTAACCCTTTTGATTAGAAATTCAGTGAGCCGTTCATACCAGACACGTGGTGCTTGTTTTAGGCCGTATAGGGCTTTATTGAGTTTGAACACAGTTTGTGGAAAGTGGGGATCCTCAAATCCTTTTGGTTGAGCAACATAGACTTCTTCCTTTAAATTTCCGTTTAAGAAGACTGTTTTTACGTCCATTTGAAATAACTTTATCTTGAGTATGCAGGCTATTGTTATGAGAAGTTGGATTGACTCTATTCTAGCTACTGGAGCGAATGTTTCCTCAAAATCTGTTCCTTCAACTTGAGTGTATCCTTGTGCTACTAGTCGGGCTTTGTTTCGTATAATGTTTCCTTGTTCATCTGTTTTATTCTTGTAAATCCATTTTGTCCCTATAATATTGGCTTTTTCCGGTTTAGGAACTAACTGCCAAACATTTTGTCTTTCAAATTGCTGTAATTCCTCTTGCATGGTTTCCATCCAAAATTCATCTTTTAAGGCTTCCGTGATATTTTTGGGTTCAATTTTTGAGGTGTAGCAGTAGTCATAGTCCCCTTCTTCCATTTTGCGATAGTCTCATTTCTTTCCTCTAGTTCTGATTCCTTCATTTAGTTCACCTATAATGTTCTCTACTGAATCATTTTTCTGTACTCTTGTCTCATCAGTTTTGAGGGTTTCCTCGATTTTCTCAGGTTATTCAATTTCATCCTTTTCTGTTGCTTCCGTTTTGGATTTCTGGTTTTGTGGTGTTGAAACTGTTGTTTCAACAACAGTTGTTTCTTCATCACTGGTGAAGGAGTCTTCTGATGTTGTATCATTGACCACAACATTTATAGATTCCATGACAGTGTCTGTTCTAAGGTTAAAGACTCGATATGCCCTACTGTTTGAGGAGTATCCCAGAAAGATCCCTTCATCTCCTTTGATGTCAAATTTTCCCAATGGTTCTCTATCTTTTAGTATATAACATTTGCTGCCAAACACATGTGTGTGTTTTAGATTTGGTGTTTTTCCTTTCCAGATTTGATATGGTGTCATGTTGGTTTCTTTCCGTATGAATACTCGATTTATCAAGTAGCATGCTGTATTGACTGCTTCTACCCAAAACTTTGAAGGAAGTCTCTTGTGTTTTAGGAGAACCCTTGCCATTTCTTGGATAGTTCGATTCTTTCGTTCGACTATTCCATTTTGTTGAGGTGTTTTTGGTGCGGAGAATTCATGGTGAATCCCATTTTCTGTGCAATATTCCTTGAATTTTGAGTTCTCAAATTCTCTTCCATGATCACTTCTTAGACGTATGATCTTCCCTATTCTTCTGTCCTTTTCATTCTGGATTTTGATAATGAGAGTTTTGAATATTGTGAATGCTTCGGATTTTTCTCTGAGAAAGTTTACCCATGTAAATCGTGAGTAATCATCAACTGTTACATAGACATATCTCTTTCCTCCTATGCTTTCAGTCTGAGTTGGTCCAAATAGATCCATGTGAAGCAATTCTAGAATTTTGGAAGTATGTATTCCTGAGGTTTTCTTGTGGACTGTTCGTGTTATTTTGTTTTCAAGGCATGCATCACATTTCTTGTTTTCATCTATGACGAGTGTTGGAACTCCTCGGTATGCTCCCTTCTTTAAACCTTTCTTCATGTCTTGAAAATTTATGTGCCCCATCCATTGATGCCATAACTGTGTTTGATTAACGGTTGTCTGTAGGCAAGTTAGATCACCGTCCCATGTGTAGCATTTATTTGTGGATTTTCTTCCGATCATAACACATTCATGATTCTGATTGAGGACATTGCAACAGTCCTTTGAGAATTCCACTTTAAGTTCATCTTCACATAGCTGACTTATACTGATCAAGTTTGCTTTTAACCCTGTACTAAGAAGACTTTTGTCAATTTTGGCAGTCCTTGTACATTTAGGGTTCCATTTGCAACGATTTTTCCTTTTCCTCCATCTCCAAAGGTAACATATCCTTCATTTTTATATTGTATGTTCTCTAAATTTTCTGGATTTTCAGTCATATGCCTGGAGCATCCGCTATCAAAATACCATATATCTTGCTCCTTGTTTGTTTTGGAGGTGTATGCGACATTTTGGTCTTTTCTTACCCAAATTTTCTTGCTATTATTTTTGTTGTGGGTTGACCATATTCTGTTGTTTTGTCTGTAGTATAGATCATTCTGTCTTTTGTAGCAGTGTGCTTTGATGTGTCCTAGTTTATGGCAATAGTAGCACCTTATTCTTCTTCGATGTCGGAAGTGTTGTTGTGCACTTCCTGTGTCTCAGTTTGATGATTCTCACTCATGTTTGTGCCTGGAGTCTTGAATTCCACTTTAAGTTCATCTTCACATAGCTGACTTATACTGATCAAGTTTGCTTTTAACCCTTGTACTAAGAAGACTTTTGTCAATTTTGGCAGTCCTTGTACATTTAGGGTTCCATTTGCAACGATTTTTCCTTTTCCTCCATCTCCAAAGGTAACATATCCTTCATTTTTATATTGTATGTTCTCTAAATTTTCTGGATTTCCAGTCATATGCCTGGAGCATCCGCTGTCAAAATACCATATATCTTGCTCCTTGTTTGTTTTGGAGGTGTATGCGACATTTTGGTCTTTTCTTACCCAAATTTTCTTGCTATTATTTTTGTTGTGGGTTGACCATATTCTGTTGTTTTGTCTGTAGTATAGATCATTCTGTCTTTTGTAGCAGTGTGCTTTGATATGTCCTAGTTTATGGCAATAGTAACACCTTATTCTTCTTCGGTGTTGAAAGTGTTGTTGTGCACTTCCTGTGTCTCAGTTTGATGATTCTCACTCATTTCTGTGCTTGGAGTCTTGGGTCTTTCGGTAAGCTCCTTAATTTCTTGTAGCAGTTTAGCTTCTCTGTTTTTGAAGTCTAGTAGTTCGTTCTGAGCTTCTTTGAATTGGTTTTCCAGTCGACTCTTTTCATCTTTCAAATAATGATTTTCTTCCATGAGTTCTAAATTTACCTTGATAATCTATCCCACTTGGCATTTAATTGAGTGTATGCCTCTAGTAATTCTTGCATGTCATCGTTAGTGTTGCTTTTATGGCTGGCAGTGAACGCCACAAAATTTGTGTTGGTGTCATCATCTTCACTATCTGAGTCATCGCTCAGGGTTGTTATATATGTTTTGTTCTTTCTTTTCAAATATGTGGCACATTCTGATTGAATGTGTCCATACCCTTTGCATTCATAGCATTGTATTCCTTCCGTAATTGTATTGTCTCTTCGTTTTGGATTTGATGGTTTTTGATTGGCTATGGAATTTCCTTGGTTGTTTGAGGAATTTTTATTCCTAAACTTGTTGAATTTTTTAAGGACTCGATTAAAATTCTTTGTCAATAGTGCAATTGACTGTTCCATAGTTTCTGAATCAGTTTCTGAGTTCTCTTCTTGTTTGGATTGTAGTGCTATTCCTTTGCCATTGTTTTTCTGATTTTGCAGCATTTCAAGCTCATAGGTTTGAAGATTTCCTATTAGATCGCTAAGCTTGTACGTATTCAAATCCCTGTTCTCTTGAATGGCAGTGACCTTTATTAGGAATCTTCCAGGCAGTGAGCGTAGTACCTTTTTGACGATCCTATGTTCGGGTATAGGTTCGCCTAGGTTAAATGCATCTCCGGAGATACTCAAAACCCTGTCACTAAATTGGGTGATATTTTCTTCTTCTTGCATCTTTAGATTTTCAAATTCCGTTTGTATCATCTGTAGTTTAGATTGTCTTACTGATGTGTTTCCTTCATGATGATTGCACAATATACCCCACGCGGTTTTGGCTATGCGGGTAGAGGCAATTAGTTTGAATGTGTCTTCGCTTACTGCTCCATATATGGCATTCATAGCTTTTGAGTTGAAGTCATATTCAGTTTTCTCTTCTTCACTCCAGTCAATTCTAGGTTTTGGATTACCTTTGTCATCGACTGGAGTTTTCCATTCATTTTCTATCGCATTCCAGACACCTTCACCTTGTGCTAAGATGTATATCTGCATTCGAGCCTTCCAATAGGAGAAGTTTGTGCCAAGTAGGGCTGGTGGTCTATTGTCTGAAAGACCTTCTCTTGGGAATTCCATTTGGATCCTGCTAATAACTTGAGCAGACCCGCTCTGATACCAATTGAAAATAATTATGAGCGTTGTGTTTGGTAGTGTTGAAATAGGTGTTGTGACACACTTAATTTATAACGCAGTTTCGGGCAAGCAACCTTAATCTGCGAGGCACTCCTCAAATTGAGAATTTGCCTAAATCCACTAAAAGCTTAATATTTAGAGTACACTTAGTTTAGGGAACGGGATTACACAATATGAGATCCTATCAAACTATTGTGACCTAAACACTTGTACTACTTTTCAAGGGGATTTGGGTATCTATTCTCAATGACTCTCGTGCTCATAATTAGATGTTGAAAGCGTAACTTGAAGAGTTATGGAGCAGCTTCTTTTATAGGTCAAAGAGATGAAGTATAGATAGGAATAGGATTGCTATTCCTATTTAGATTAGAAATATAATTCATAAGACTTGTTTAATTTAGTATTCCTTATTTGTCTAGAATTTAACAATTTGTCTTATGTCAACAAACATTACTCCGGTAAAGTTACCCGGGTATATATTTAACCCTCTCTCCCTCCTCTTTCTCTCTTTTGACAAATTCGTTCGAGACTTGGGAGTTTCGACGCAGCAGCCATAACCGAAGATTCTTCAGCTAATACTACTGCAATACACTGCACCGGAGTATCTGCTTTTCTCCGGTTGCGGAATCTCGAAGCCCTAACCTCTGTGATTCGACCGAGTAGCTAGATCGAGCGAGCGGCGAGGAAGAATTGGGTTTGTGGGGAGCGGAGGGATTATTGAATAATGGCGGCGGAATTAGGGCAAAAGACGGTGGAGTTCTCCACGCTGGTGAGCCGGGCGTCGGAGGAGTCGTACGTCTCGCTCAAGGAGCTGGTGGAGAAGTCCAGGTCCGCTGACCTCTCCGATTCAGACAAGAAGATTGGGATTCTCCAGTACCTCGTCAAGACCCAACAGCGCATGCTTTGCCTCAATGTCCTCGCCAAGTGGTGTCAACAGGTTAGTGTTACTCTCGGTATCGTTGATGCTCGTATTTTGCGAATCTTCTGCGGTTTTGTTGACTATGAGATAGAGTCAAGATTCAAGAAATAACTTGCCAATGAAGAAGCGTGTGAAACTAGGATATTGATTGAAAGGAGGTTAACTGAGTTTAGAAAGTTTGGGTCATTTAGTCATTTTGATAGGCAATTGTGGAATTGTACTTGTAGGACTGGTTTTCATTTGCTTATTCTTTTCCATTCTCTTTCATTTTCAAATCAGCTTTTGAATTGTTTGATTACAGTTAAAATGGAGAGAATTGAATACAAAATGGTTTGATAAGGAATATTGGTGGTGGAGAAGCAGGATATTGATTGAAAGGTGGTGAACTGAGTTTAGAAAGGTCAGGTTATTTTGATAGGTGGTTGTGGTGTTGCTCTCGTAAGATTGGTTTTCAATTACCCCTTCTTTTCCCTTTTCGGTTTCATTTTCAAATCAGTATTTGAATGATTTGATTACAGTGAAAATAGAGGGAATTGAATATGAATGAATTGATTTGGAATATTGATAATAGAAAGATAGGGTGAGCTGGGTTTCATGTAGATATCTAGAAACACGCTGAAGAAGAAGCTTCAATGGATTGAAACGGGTATCATTCTTCTGGATAAACATCACAAAATGCAAGAGCAATAACATATACATGATGAGAGAGAAATGCTTAGAACACACTAATGTCAGCAGATGTAGAAAAACAAAGATTGAACAACTAAAATTGGAAGGAAACTGGAATGACTAAAAGGACAAAAATAGAAAATATTTGAAATAAATCCATAATATGCATGAGTCCATCAATTGAGCCCAATTCAATTTTAAAAGCGTGTATTGCATACATCTTTATATTTAATTTTCTGCCCCTCCAACTTGCATAAATAAGACCCTAACTTATAACATTGTTGTTTAGTGGGTTCTAGTTATTGCGTATACCTGTTACTTTTATGTCTAGAAAACTATAAGTCTGCAAAATCTATTCTCAGAGAATTTAGAGCATGTGAAAAATGTAGGAAGTTAATTTTGGAATTGTTTGAGGCAGAAAGTTTAAGGGCTTGGACCTCTGTATGTGAAATGGTGATATTGAAGTTGCATGAAAAAAATTAGTTCCAGTTAAGGAATTTGGGATGCCTTACAAATTTGTTTTTATATGTTATAATGTTATATAAATCTATGTAGTTTTTATTGTACAGGAAGAATGATTTCAAACTGAATTATTGGGTTTTGTTCTTCAGATTTGTGTTTTTTTTTTTTTTTTTTTTTTGAAATTCTAGATGGAGTTCCTTGTCTGTTTGGCGTTTTTTCCACTTCCTTCCTTTCTTTTTTGCCTTGAAAGGCTATGTTCACTGCGAGTTGTTTAGCAGACCAATTAAGCGTTTCAAAAAAAAAAGCAGACCAATTAAGCAGAGGGAGTAACTTTAGAACCCTTAACCGCAGATAATTGTTCAGGGTAATTATCTGCAATAAACCTTGTGCAGTACTGGCTACAAGATGTATAAACTTAATTCTGCCTTAACACACCTTCTACTTGATCATCTAATTAATGCTTATGAGAACAGGAAAATTTGTTAGGTGATTTATTATTAGTTGGGGTTGTAAACATGTGAGTGAAGTGTGTATCAGTTGGTCAAGATCTGAGAATTTTATACTGTATTCCTGGATGATTTAGGAGGCTGGAGAGTAACACAAAATGCATAATACAAATGGAAAATAGGAATATAATCTGTAATTTTTATTTATTTTTTGAATACATTTTACACTCCACTTTCCCACACCAAAGAAACATTTCTGAGAATAGGAGTTGTAGAAAGGCAATTCAGTTTTTATTAACTCATTTGTTGTAGTTGAAATATTTTGATTTTGGCTCATACTTCATGGTTCGTTTGAATAAGCAGGTCTTAGTTTTAGCCACTTTTAGGATTCTAATGAATTTCTTCTTCAAATTCCTTTTGTTTATTGTGCAGGTCCCCTTGATTCAGTACTGTCAACAACTTGCATCAACATTATCAAGTCATGATACATGTTTCACTCAAGCTGCAGATTCATTGTTTTTCATGCATGAAGGGCTACAACAAGCTCGTGCTCCCATCTATGATGTTCCTTCTGCTATTGAAATTCTTCTTACTGGATCTTACCTACGTTTGCCAAAATGTATAGAAGATGTGGGCATGCAAAGCACATTAAATGATGATCAGCAAAAATCAGCTCTAAAGAAGCTAGATGCACTTGTTAGGTCTAAACTCCTTGAAGTTTCACTTCCCAAGGAAATTACAGAAGTAAAGGTTTCTGATGGTACTGTTTTGCTCCGTGTGGATGGGGAATTTAAGGTTCTAGTTACTCTTGGTTATAGAGGACACTTGTCAATGTGGAGGATATTGCATCTAGAGCTTCTTGTTGGTGAGAGAAGTGGTATGATGAAGCTTGAAGAATCGCGTAGACATGCTCTTGGAGATGATCTTGAACGGAGAATGACCACTGCAGAGCATCCATTCATGACGTTGTACTCTATTCTGCATGAACTGTGTGTTGCACTTGTTATGGACACAGTTATAAGGCAGGTACAAACACTTAGGCAAGGGAGATGGAAAGATGCAATTCGATTTGAGCTCATATCTGATGGTACTGTCGGACAAGGAGGGAGTGCTGGCTCCATGCAAATGAATCAAGACGGAGAAACTGATTTCACTGGTTTACGTACTCCTGGCTTAAAAATTTTGTATTGGCTGGAGTTAGATAAAAGCTCCAGTACATCTGACATGGGATCTTGCCCATATATAAAAATTGAACCAGGTCCAGACCTGCAAATAAAGTGTCTCCATACCTCATTTGTAATTGATCCGATGACTGGAAAGGAAGCAGAATTTTTCCTTGATCAAAGTTGCATCGACGTTGAGAAGTTGCTACTCAGAGCAATCTGCTGTAACAGATATACTCGCTTACTTGAAATTTATAAAGAACTGGAGAAAAATACTCAGGTCTGTCGAGCTCCAGGAGATGTTCAACTTAATTGCCAGGGTGAAACTCAAGCTGAATACAAAATGGTTAGTAATTTCATATTATACTTTATTGGAATAAACTCCAAGCTTAAGTCTTGCCCTTTGAGGCTTTGAACTATTATTTGACTGAATATTTAAGTGAACTTGTCAACCATATGCCAGGGTATTAGGACTCTCTTGGGGAAGTATGGGAAATGTTGGGAGGGGTATACTTCTTTGGGTTGTGACTTGAGAACTATCTGAACTGCTTCAATTGTCTGTGATTAAAAAGGGTGAGAAGCTTAGGTTTTCCTTCAACTTTGCAAAAGTTCTAGACTTCTAGGGTTTGACCTAGAAAAGTCCTCTTGATACAGTGCACAAGAAGGCCATTTAAAGATCTAATAACATCTTATTCTATATTTTGAGGAGTGCATGGTTGTTTGAGCTACTTCACATAGAATTGTCAGTGTATTGACTGTATTCCTGCACACCCTAGTGTGTGTTTTTTGTTTTTATTTTTTTTATTTTTTTTTTATTTTTTTCAAAAAGCATTCTGCATCATTTTATTTTAAATAAAAAAATGTTCAGCTTAGAAAAGATTGTGTGAACTCTATAGCCTATTGGTATCTTATGGCTGGTATTCGGTCTTTTCTTATTTTACATTTGACTAATTTCAATATGTCTCTAGTCTATGACCCTATGGACGCCTTAAAAGTTGAAAATACAAATTGAATTACATGCCTGTAAAGGCTTAGTACTTTGTGATTTTTAGAATTCCAATTATTTGCTAAAAGTTCTTGAAAACTGCTCATGTGTTTTGAAGTTAATTCCTTTGTTAATTTAAGTATACCATAGGACAATTGTATAGTTTTTTTTTTGTTTGACTTTTGAAACAATTTGGAACCTTTCAAAACTCTTACAATGTTCATAAATCATTTTTCATTTAATAGAAAAATTCTCTGTACTTTTATTGTAACTGATCTATGGTTTGGTATTTTTCTTTTCATTGAAGTTGTAAAATTTCTGTTTCATTCTTCGTTCTTTGTAGCAATGTCCTTTAGCAACTCATGGATGCTTGAGGGCATGACCTAGTGAATTTTCTGTAAAGATATGATTGTGTTCTAGAATGTTGTTGTCCATTCACAATGAATGTGCAGACGGTTCAAAGTTTCTTCATCTTTGAGGCCTTCCCATTTGACAAAAGAAACTTTAGTAGAACAGTTAGCTTTCCTAATCTTGTTCCTAGGGAAATCCTTTGGTGCAGTTTAGTTCAGAGCATGATGATAGAATGATGTCTGAGAAGATCTTATCTTTGGTTCAAGTCCAAAGTGACTTGTCAAAACCCCCACTGTTAGTATATGTATTGCAAAGGATGTGACATTAGCAAAAGTTCCCATTTTCTAATTCTTTGAATCTATAAAAATTGAATGTTCCAGAACATATCTCCTTTCGAATTAATGAATTGGGAACTCAGTTTTTCTTCTGTCATTGGCAATTGTGTAGAGATTAGTGAAAGATAGTTTAAGCAGTAGGTGGGAGCACCAAGTATTGTGCCAGAATCTTAAACCTTCGCACATTTCAAATTCAAACTGAATATGCCTGAGGGGAAGTCTTTAATGTTCACCTTCATCATTGCCATATTTTGCCACAATCAACCTTCCCCAAAGCATCCCCTCTTCTCTAGTGAATCTCCACAACAATTCTCAAGCACTTGAGCTTCAAATTCATTTTGAATTAAAAATTACAGAATAGTGTGATGTTTCATTTACAGAACTCTTGCTATTGACATAACATCAATAGTTTCTTTGGTCTGACAGTTTACTAGTAATCTAATTGTCTCATATGCTTTTTTGCTTAACTGTTTCTTGTTTGCAGAGGGATAACAAGCTTGACCTTGGAAAAGATGAAGGTCAAGTAGTCTTGCTTGTACGTGCCTATGGCTCTTCGTTCTTCACCCTTGGAATAAATATAAGGTTTTCCAATTTAATTTTTATTCTTTCAAATTTATGTTATTCTTAAATATGTCGCTCGTCATGTGAAATTAATCATTATGTGAATGCTAAGTGATTTGACAAGTATTGCCCTTCTTATGCTTGAATGCTGGCATGAGCCTCTTCGGTTCAAGGATACTTCAAACCATGTGGTTTGAGCCTATTCTGTATTATTATGATACATTACTACTTCAATGGGTAAGGGAAAATGTAGAAACAAAGGGAGAATTTTTGCAAATCATAGAATGGTTAGTTGGTGAATGGTGTATTCTGACTAGAATTTGATGTGACCATAAAGATCTTGAAGATTGATAGAAATATTGGCCAATAAATGAGTGTGCTTGACTTCAAAGCAAAATGCCCACAAAAGGGTCAATGGCCCATAGCAGACATGAGAATGCTAAGATTGCTAAAATAAATGTGTGGGAAATGCTAGAAAGGATCATATTGGAAATTGTGCAAGTGGCACTGGTTTAAGATGAATTGACAAAGAATAGATTAAGATGGTTCCAACATGCTCTATATAGGCTTATGGACTCCCCAATCATTAGAAATATTACTGTAGTAGTAGATGGCAAGAAAGGGGTAGAAAAAAATGCGCAAAACTTATGAGAATAACTCTTGTTTAGAAAGTCATGCTAGTGTAGGAGCATTAATGTTGAAGTTGGAGAAATGTAGTTGATATAACCAACTCCAGTTTATTGGGATTGGGTCTTAGTCAAGTTTAGTCGCAAGAAATTATGTATTTCTGACAAACTGCATAAGATTGGTGTAAGCTAAAATATATTTTTGAGATAAATGTAGCAATGCATGCAATGGCTTGCAAGCAAATGTCTCTCTGGCCTCTGCACTTTACTATGAGGCTGCACCCAAAACTTAATGTAGCAAGTTGTTCTGCACCTTTCTATAGGGGTTCACCTAAAGCTTGATTTCTTACTTTGTGTTTCAGAGACTTAACATATGTTTTTTCCTTTGGCATTTAGGATTGGACGCTTCATTCTTCAGTCATCCAAGAATATTATATCATCATCAACACTAATTGAGCATGAAGATGCCCTAAACCAGGGGGGACTATGACTGCAGCTGATGCTTTTATAAGCCTGAGAAGCAAAAGCTTATTACACTTGTTTGCTTGTGTTGGAAGGTTCTTAGGCCTTGAGGTATATATGTACAAATTTTCACCATTCATGTTAAAAATGACTTGTAAACAAGTCATAAACAATTAATTAATTAATGTTAGAATGACTTGCAAACAAATTGAGTCAACTCATATTCACTGAACCAATTGCAAGTGGCATGTTAATTCACTTTCCTGGCAAAACATTTCTTCCTTAATCAGCTTTGGGTCAATGGGGACAAAGCAGTGGGGATTTTTCTTGTGTAGATGTAGAATGACTCTTCTGATTGGTTCATGGATGATTAATTTCTTGGTTTTTTACTGTTCAAGTGCATCTTAGACCTGACAGATATAGTAATAAACAAGCTATGCTGTTCAGGAAAAAAGTCTTCTTCTTTTTTGTTTTAATAATATTTTTTTTACAGTTGTTTGAAAAATGGATCCTTATCTAAATGTATTAAGACCAGAAGGGGTGCTGTTGTTATTTTGTAAGTGTCAGACACCATTTCCATATGCATTTACTCTTTTTGAAGTTATACTAAGTGCATTAAGAAAATTCTTTTTCTAAAGCTGAATGAAGTTTTAATGGTTTCATTAATCCATTTCTAATTTTTGTAGCAATAAATCTTGGTATTTCATGCTGAATTAGGATAATTATTGTTATTATTTATATGCTTTTTGTTAAATCATCATCTCCTGCTTACTGTGTTTTAATGGTTATCATACCTACTATATGCATTTTGTGGGTGATTGTAGAGAAATTAAAAGGTCTTTTTGTTCTGTCTGACAGGATTTATCCTTCCTAGTGATTCTACTCAACTTAATTTCCTGATTGATCTCTGATTGGGTGTATACTAAATACTAGTACTTTTTAATATTAGAGGTCATAGGCCAGTCAGTCACTGACTGTCTGACCTAGCCTCATTGTTAGTTGTTATCCTTAGACGATTTAACTGAGCTTGTAATTTTTACCAATAGTGTAGCAATGCTTGTCATTCTCTTCTTGATAGATGGCTGACTAAGTATATAATGTATACTCCTGCAGGTTTTTGAACATGGTTTAGCATCATTGAAGCTGCCAAAGAATATTGCCAGTGGTTCAAACTTGTTGCTTATGAGATTCCCGGAATGTGGTAGCTGTTATTATTTGCTAATGCAACTTGACAAGGATTTCAAACCACTTTTCAAGTTACTAGAAATTCAGTCAGATTCTTCAGGAAAAGCTCAATCATTTGGTGATTTAACCAACTTTGTCCGTTCCAAAAGTGTTGATGTTGGTCAGATGCAGATTTATGAGGATGTACTGAATTTGAGTCTTCTTGACTACAGGAAATTGTTGTCATCTTTACGTGATAATACTACCCAACAAATTGAAAGCAGTAATCTTAATAAATTTAGCTTGGAAGGTTCTATGTCTATTTCTTGTGTTTCTTCTAATTTCTCATCCATTGTTGATGAAGTGTTTGAACTAGAGAAAGCTCTTCCTTCTATGACTGGTGCAAATCCCCCTTATAGATTTGCCAGTTCTCCTGCTTCACATTTTGTTCCGGGGTCTACAAATTTGCATAGTTCAAAAGTTGGAACATCATCTCCTAAATGGGAAGGGGGAGTGCAGATATTGCAAAATAATGTTTCAATTTACAAGGGGATAGTACAGTCGGGATCCACCAGTTCGTTATCCCCATTTCCTGGAAGAAGTCAAACTATGAAGAAATTGACAGCTTCCAGGTCTGAGCAAGATTTGGTGTCTCTAAGGTCACCACATTCTGTTGGAATTGAATCTTACACATCAATGGATGAAGATCAGCTGCCTCGGTCAGCTCAACTTCTATCTCCACCAAACCGAAATAGCCTTCCAACTCCTGCATCAATTGGAACATCTAATGCCCCAAAGAGCTCTCCAGGGGGCACAGTATCTGCAAGCCTTAGGGCTTCTGGATCTAACTCATTAGTTACAAGTCCCCTATGTAAGATATTTCTTCTTGCAAATATAACTTGTTATAACTTATAAATGTCTGCACCTTGTCCATTTCTCATTTTTCTGATAAAGTTGGTTTGTATATGAATATGAATATGAATATTTATTTGTTTGTTGTGTTTTGTAATCACTCTTAAGTTTCCTTCCTGCTGTTTCAGCCCAAGTCACTTCTGCTACATGTGCAAATTCAAGTCATGATGCAGCTTCTAGACAAAATAAAATGCCTAGAAAGCGTACAGTTTCAGATTTATTAAATTCACTTCCATCACTTCAAGGAAAAGAATCCAGTGAAGGATCTTACAAGAGAAGAAAGGTTGTGGAGTCTGCTAGCACTCATCATCTTCAGTCACAAATGCTAGTTTCTTTGGAGATATCTGGTAAAACTGATGGCTACAGTTATGCTGATCTCTTAAATGAAACTCATAAAGGCAATGCACCTTCTACTGTATATGTTTCTGCCCTTCTTCACGTTATCAGGCATTGCTCACTTTGTATCAAGCATGCCCGACTTACTAGTCAGATGGATGCACTTGAAATCCCGTATGTTGAAGAGGTGGGTCTTAGAAGTGCATCCTCAAAACTGTGGTTCCGACTTCCTTTTGCTAGAGATGACACATGGCAACATATATGCTTGCGGCTTGGGAGGCCTGGAAGCATGTATTGGGATGTCAAAATCATTGACCAACACTTTCAGGACCTGTGGGAGCTTCAAAAAGGTGGCAGTAGTACTCCATGGGGTTCTGGTGTTCGAATTGCAAATACATCTGATGCAGATTCTCATATCCGTTATGATTCAGAGGGTGTTGTTTTGAGCTACCATTCTGTTGAGGCTGATAGTATCCGTAAATTAGTGGCTGATATCCAAAGGCTCTCTAATGCTCGTGCATTTGCACTTGGAATGCGGAAGTTACTTGGTGCAAGGACAGATGAAAAGTTGGAAGAAAGCAGTCCAAATGTGGATGGTAAAGTACAATCTGGACTAAAAAGTGCTGGTGACTCGGTTGATAGGATTTCAGACCAAATGAGGAGAGCATTTAGAATTGAGGCTGTTGGACTTATGAGTCTGTGGTTTAGTTTTGGTCAAGGGGTTCTTGCTCGTTTTGTTGTTGAATGGGAATCGGGTAAAGAAGGCTGCACAATGCATGTTTCACCTGACCAACTTTGGCCACATACCAAGGTTTGTTTTCCATCCTTAAAATGGATAAGATATTCCATAACCTATTGCTCATCATTGATTTCACTAAAGACTAACAGTGTACTTGAGTCCTTTCTTTAGCTGTAACTTGCAGTCTTCTGTTTATTACATTGTGAAACAGCTGTAAACTTAGAAAATAAGTCTTATCTTTTCACCGGGAATTTATTTCAGTAATGATAGGAGTAAACCTTACTTTAAGAATCTGTTTTTAGCTAAATGATATTGGCTTCTTGGTCAATGATGACTTCTGTCAAGTGATTCCTTTTTCATTGTATTGTTGTTTTTAAATACTTCATTGCGCCCATTTCCCTAATGAATTAATTTGTTGTAATTCTTCAACCGACAGTTTCTCGAAGATTTCATAGATGGAGCTGAGGTTTCATCACTCTTAGATTGCATCCGCCTCACAGCCGGACCTTTGCATGCTCTTGCTGGTGCAACACGACCTGCACGAGCTGCTCCTGTGTCTGGGGTTACTGGTATTGTAGCACCTGCTCCTATGTTCATAATTGTAAGTTCATAATGTCAGAGCTCTGTGTTCATAATTCCATAACTGTACATTCATACTTCCATAATTGTACATTCATAATTCCGTAATTGTACATTCTATGGGAAAAGAATAATGTGAGAGTTTAAATTCCAGTGTTTGGTTTGTAGGAATAAAATTACTGGAAATTTCAATTCCAATGTTTGGTATACATGAGAATTGAGGGGGGAATAAGTAGTGTAAAGTCCAAAATGCCCATTGTTGTTGTTATTATTATTATTATTATTAATCTTAAATGACAAGTATTTCTTGGACACATTTGCATATTCAAACACCAAAAAATGTAACATATTAAATTCAAATACCACTCATCGGTGCACAGAATGAAAATTTTGTTCTTCAAATTTTAGGCAAATAACTATATATACACATCAAATTTAAATACTTAAGAGTTTTGAGAAAACATACTTGATTGAGGTTGGCATAAAATAATTATTACTTAGGAATGGCGTTCTGTATTGACACTAGTCGAAGAAGAATCACGCTATCATCTAGAAAGGAAGGTCAGATATCAATTTTAGGTTAAAAAATGGAGAGTAATTTTGTCTCAGGATTTTCTTCTTCTTTTTTTTTTTTTTTTTTTTTTTTTTTCCGTCCTAAAATCCATGGAATTAAAATCCCGGGGAGGGGGAGGGGGGCATGGGATGTTGGAAAAATAGCATAGAAATGGCATTTTAAGTGGCTATTTTGTGGTACAATTGTTAATGGGTCCACTTCTGATTTGGGTTGGGTCAAAGTGAATCCGGGTTCTTCGTAGTGATACGAAGAGATTGATATATTGTACACTCAAAGTGGATAATGGGTGAATGAGAAATTGATTATTAAAGTAGACTCATTTGAGTTGGAAAAATGAAGGGAAAAAGAAGTAGCTTTTGTCCCACATTGATTTAGGAAGTGGGTTTGTACCACTATTTATATAAGAGTCTTTCTAAAGCTTATTGAATTGTATAGCATAGAGGCTATCTTTCGCGCGCAAGGGGAATACAAATTGAAATGAGCTTGAAAAGCCTTGACAGCCTTGACTCGTGTATGTGGGAGGCCGTTGGGCTGGGTAACAGCATGAATTGCGGATTCGCCGTTTGCCATTTTGTTTCTGGGTTTCCTCTGGCACAATTAATGGTCAGCAGTTACAACTGTTTTTTAACTGATTTAATATCAGTGTTAATGCCAGTTCAATTCTATTTAACATTCAATCTCCTATATAAGTTCGCTGTAGGACAGCAGGTTTGAGACACAACAAACAACACAATAAAAATCAGTTTTCTTCTCTCAAAAACTTTGCTCCTACTCTTTTCATGCCATCTGTGTTTTGTCCACGCTCTCGTTTGCCGGGTTCTATGTTAGAGTGCTTCTAACTTAGAACCGTAGTACGTTTTATCATAGGAAACCTATGTCGCAACGCTCCTGACACTTTTGGGAGGGGGCAAATAAAGTTTTAAGGAAAGTGTGTTTCGCTCGACTCTTACTAACCACCTACACACATATCCTTCTGTCCCTGTGCTTGGAGGCTCATCCTTGATCCTTCGTTATCATGTAGTGGGATTATGTTTCAAACAAGAAATCCCTGTTCTATATATTTGTATATAGTTGCTGGTTGGAATTATAATCTAGAAGATTATAAATTCCTTGTGATCTGATTTATATATATTGGTATATATATATTTCGAAAAATATAAAATAATACATATCGGTAGTAGTTGTTTCTTAAAATGAATGGTTCATATTATTTTGATTTTAGTATTCTTTAATGATTTTCCTTATTTACCCTCTATTCTATTATTTTCTTCTCTTAAATAACCCTAAATTTCGTTAGAATAAACTTTTATTGGACAAAATTGTTCTTACATCATTGTCAGATCTGCGCGGCCTAACTACAAAGTTGTTGATCATAAATACAATTACACATGGACTCTAAAACGGTAGGACCATTTTCCAAATAATTGAAAATGTTAACATCCTACTAGCTTCAATTGAACAAGTTTACACATCAGAATTTTATCAAATGCATGAAAATTTCTAAAGAAATTTGTAAGTTAATTTTTACTATATCATTATAACAATATTTATTGTAATCACATATTTTGAATTATTTATGATCATCCTCTATTGACAGCAATTATAGCAATTGTCATTGACAAACTCTCAAAACAATTTGTCTCAACAAGGAATGATTTTTTTTTTTTTTTTAAATCATTGATTTCATTATTGTTGATGAAAAGTATGTACGACACTTTATTACTTTTATTAAATTAAATAAATAAGTAGTTACAACAAAAAAAAATACATATACATGTAATTAATTTAGAATTAGATGTCTATAATGCTTTATTTTAAAAAAATTATTCATTATTAACAAATTTAAAAGAAATATAATTTCATTAGTTATATTATCTTTATTTTCTACAATTAAAAGATTCCTTACCTTCAAATTTATTAATTTATTATATTCACTACATTATCCATTGTCTTCTTTTTACATTATCTTCTAATTAAATCAAAGTTATAATACAAAACATGTTATATACATTTATTTACCAATTATTTTATACAAATATAATAAATATTAATATTTTGTTCAATACTTTCACATGATAACCTATGATACATATTTCATAACACATGAAACATGTAGGGGAAAAACTACCCGTATTAAATATCAATAGGTATTTGTAAGATAAAGAGTTCATATTCTAACTAAAATCGCAGTCATATACATAGCAAGGCAAATCTAAAGCTTCTTACACCATAATCTCATTGCATGATGAATCCCTCTATGCAGTCACCAGTAACCTAATTGCACATAACACACTACCAATAAAAAAAAAAAACATGCACTGAAGATGAAAACAATGACAATGCTACCCAAAAGAGAATTAAGAATAATTAGAGAAATTTAAACCAAAAGTAGTACGTATTTATTTAGACTATCGATTTAAGACTAAGTATTTAGACTACCATTATTACAAAGTTGCAAACATTTATTTTAGCGACAATTATAATCAATCTTTCATATATTATCTTGAATTTATATACTTTAAATTACCGATTTAAATAAACAAATTGAACATTTATTTACCTATGCATAAACATCTCATATATAATATTGCATTGATATATTTTGAAATACTTATTTAAAAATAATCATTGGGCATTATCCCATTCGCGCAAAGCGCGTAAAAAATAGTATATATATATATATATATATATATATATATATATATATATATGTGTGTGTGTGTGTGTGTGTGTGTGTGTGTGTGTGTGTGTGTGTGTGTGTGTGTGTGTGTGTGTGTGTGTGGTGTGTGTATTTTTATATATATAAATTTCTTTTTGTGATAAAATCGACTTGTTAATTTTTCCTACATGGGATTTTAAATTTTAATTCAATGAAAATGAGGGAATTTCAATTCTGTGGAATTACAATTTTCTTCAACCAAACTAAGAAATTTAGTTGTTTTCGGAATTAGGTAAAGATTAAATGAATTGAATTCTAATTCTCTCCAACCAAAGACCCTGTAAAGGTTTATGAATTATAGGTGACAAAATATTAGTTTCAAATTAAATGACTAAGCAATAAACCAATGAACAATGCAATTATGCTGGTACGAAAGAGTGGACTTATTGCCTTGGTTGCCACTAAAATACCGAGATATGACTCTTACATGGGCGTTTGGTTGGAGGGGGGAATTACGTGGGAAAGGAATTGCAATTCAATGGGAGATGAATTATTGAGAATAAAGTGAGAATTTAAATTCTAGTGTTTGGTTTACAGGAATAGAATTACTGGAAATTTCAATTCCAATGTTTGGTATACATGGGAATTGAAAGGGAATAAGTGGTACATATAAAATCCAAAATGCCCATTGTTGTTGTGGTATTAATTTTACATTAAAAAGAAGGGTAATTTTGTCTCATCACAAGCTTTTTTTCTTCATAAAATCCCTGGAATTAAAATCCCAGAGGAGGGACATGGGATTTTAATTCCATGAAAATGGGGGAATTGCAATTCAATTCCTTCCAACCAAACTAAGGAATTTTATGACATTTGGAATTAGGTGGGAATTAAGTGGGAAGGGAATTTAAATTCCCTCCAACCAAACCCCTGTTAGAGAATTTCTATTTGTGTGGGTTTTTATTAGGTTTATGTTAGAAATTAAAAAAAAAAATATATATATATATATATATATATATATATATATATATATATATATATATATATATATATATATATATATATAAAAGTGCAACCGAATACCACTCAAAAGTGGACCCCATAAAATGAATAAAAAAAAATTATGCACACCAGCGTATTTGCCCCGGCCCATCAATAAAAGTTTTTATATTAAAGGCAGAAGGGTCAGATAAGTCTATGTACTAACAAGTAACTAGGGGTTCGCAAATTATGCCATGGAATCGTGTTCACTGAGAATGGTGAACACAAGGCAAAACGACGTTGTTTTTAGGTCAAAAAAAAAAATTTCGCGGATGTGGAGTTAACGGCGCGCGTTTGATCAAATTATGAATTTTCTGTTATGAGATTATGAATTTTATGAAAATTCATAATCTCATAACAGAAAATTCATAATCTCATAACAGAAAATTCATAATCTTATAACAGAAAATGCATAATCTCATGGTTCCAAAGTGAATGTGTAGGCATGGTTCCAAAGTGAATGTGCAGGCATGGATTCATAATTTATGAATGTCCGTGATTTCGGACGGGAATATGTAGGCATGGTTCCAAAGTGAATGTGCAGGCATGAATTCATAATTTATGAATGTCCGAAATTATGAATGTAATGAAAATTCATAATCTCATAACAGAAAATTCATAATCGCATAACAGAAAATTCATAATCTCATAACTAAAAATTCATAATCTCATAACAGAAAATTCATAATCTTATAACAGAAAATTCATAATCTCATGGTTCCAAAGTGAATGTGTAGGCATGGTTCCAAAGTGAATGTGCAGCCATGGATTCATAATTTATGAATGTCCGTGATTTCG